ATTGGGACACAATCCTGCCTTGGAGTTCTATTATTTCAGTTTGTTTACTTCACATTCTTTATTGTAGTTTGTCACAATATTCTATATAACCTGGTGGGTAAAGTTACCTTCCTTGATCAGATCTGTGAGGGTGAAAAATCCCTTTGTGCATTTGTCATAAATGAAGTGGTTTATAAAACCAATGCCTCTCTCAAAACCTATGAAAGCAGTCAGGTAAAATACAGAGTAAGCAGCATGACTAAATGTAATGCTGTCCAGAGTAGTAATAAACTCTCCAATGTGATATATATGGGTAGAAGTACCTAGGTCTTTTAAGTCTATTGTATTAGATTTTCCAGCAGCAAATATTACAACTGCTGATTCATAACATGTCTTTAGGAAGAGCAAGCTCTTGACTACTGATCTGGTTGATTAAATCAGCAGCTAGTCTGAAATTTTTGTCCAAGAAACCATTTTTGAGGAAGAGCCAGGTTGTATCGCCTTGAACAGGGACAAATATTCCCATTGGCATTCTATCCAATGCCTTTAGCTACAAAGAATATAGCTGTCATGGAAACAGAACTGCCCCAAGATATTTTGTTGCCTGCAGCCAAAGACGAGATGGAACCCACAACGATATAGTGCTAAGCACTGAAGAACAAGTACACATCATGAAAGACTGACCACCTCATCCTGAAGGAGTATCCCCAAACATAATTGTGCTGATCTGCATCAGGTGTGGGTAGGCAACTTCCAGAGGTCTGGGCATCACAGAGAACCACTCCTGGACCTCTGAAGGCCACAATTCCTCTGGGCCTCCCCATCCCAGAAATATTTTGTAACCTTTTTTAAAAAAAGTTGAAAAAAAGCTGCATCTTGCCCTTTAGTAGACCCTCAGAAGAATATCACAATTGTTCTTGGCAGCTTGCAAATGATAAATGATAGCTGTTCTACAAACCCACCAATAGTAAACTGCTGTGGGTGCAACATATGGTTAATTGCTGCTTAGAGGGGATGAGGAAACTTTTAGATCATTTAAAATAAATAACTAAACTGAAGCGGAGGTGATGGTGGAGCCCTGGAGGGGCTGCACCTTGTCCTCCCCAATCTATATCAACAAACCATTTCTAGCCATTTTCAGCCCACAAAAGCAGATCTTCTGTTATGCTAAGAATGGCCAATTTAAGTTGAGCTAGCATCAATTACTTGGTTTTGCATTAGGAATAGCTGACCGTGGTATATTGTTGGTGGGGAAAGCAATTTCCTCTCAGGAACTGTGAAATGTTACAGCTAAGTTCAAAGGGAAATGGAAAGCTTGAGGGAACTGGCTGGTCATTCCATCGTTCTTGCTATTCAGAACTTTCCACAGTTCTGCTCTACCAGATTTGGCCTCATTACACCACCGGGCACCTAGTGACCATTTTGTGTAGTTGACCAGACTTGTAGCAGCAACTAGCATTATTCAGTCCTCCTGGCTTGCTTAGGGAATGCTGGGTGTCCAATATTTCTCAGACATTCCTTTTTTCTAACATCTATTTCACTCTTTGAAATGGTATAGTCTATGGAGAGAATTAAAATGAAAGATGAGGAGGAAAACATGACATTTATTGAACAACAAAAAAACCACACCTTAAACTCTAGCTTCCCACAAAACTGGATCAGGCTTGGACCTGCCTCCTGCCTCTACCTCCTGCACAGATCAGAGGTGAGCTAACACTGCCAACTTATTTCTATCTCAGGAGTGTGAATTGTGCAGTTTGTGGGTCGTATGTGGAACAAGGCCACCAGCTCAGCCTCACAACCCCTTCGACCCTCGGAGTCCTCTGATCAGTGGGTGAATCCGTCCTAAGTGGAAATGGAAATTCTTCCTCCCGAACCCTACAGGCTATGTAAGGCTACTGGGGGGAGTCAGTTGTAGTGCCCCAAATGGCACTTTCTGATCACTTCCAGTCTGGTCCTTTTCGGGTGACCTCTGTACTATCTGTACTTGCTCTATGCAAAATGAGCAGAGAATATGCAGCAGTCAGATTGGGCGCAGAGTTTTCTTTTGCTGCATCCATGTGCTTCGTTCAGAAAAGTGTCCATTAAAAAATGCGGAGGAGCTATTGCATTAATAATGTGCCCATGAATCAGTGAATGCTATTATTCCTTTGCAAGATGTTACTTCTTCCCCAACAACAGAAGACATCAGACATCCAGTGCTCCCAACTATGTTTTCCTTTAAAAATTAATGACATGTCATGTACTAGTATGCTGTAGCCAAAAGAAATAAAGCTCTGTCAACTTTTTTATTCAAGTCACTGTTGGGGAAGGTAATCAGGGACTTGTGTCCAAGAGGCATAGCCTCAGCAGTCTGTCAGGAGGGCTGTAACATTGCTTGCAAAGAAAAATCAACTAATAAAACAAGTGCAGTCATCAGAACTGACAGGAGTTGGAACCCTAATATGTATACTGCAAGACTGTTTGTTTCCTGTTTACAAGATGTGTTTGTACAAGTCAAGGGATGTGGCACCCATCAACTGTTTTCAGAGGCACTTACAGGGATACTTGAAATGCCTTCTAGTGAGAGTGAAAGAAGGAAATGCCAAAGCAGGACTGCAGTTGAACATTAAGAAGACAAAAAATCAAGACTACTGAAGAACCTCACCACTTTAGTATTGAGAATGAAGACACCGAGATTTGAAGTTTTGAATGAATAGGTTCAATCATCAATCCAAATGGAGACCAAAGCCAGAAAAATCAGAAACTGAAACTCGGAAGGCGAGCAATGAAAGAATTAGAAAAGATAATCAGGTATAAGAATGTATCATTGGGGATCAAGATCAAGATCATCCACACTCTTGTATTCCTGCATCACTATGTATCTCCATGAAAGCTAGACAGCAAAGAAAGCTGACAGAGGAAAATGATTCATTTGAAACATAGATCTTTGCTGCTCAAATATCTCATTTACCTTGAAAGCCCTATTAGAGTCGCTATAAGTCAGTTCGGACTAGACAGCACAGAACACACGCACACACTCCTTTGGTAGTCCTACTCTACTCAAATTTTAGCCTCCTGGGCCTGTTGCAAATAAGACTAGAAAAAGAAGTTTTAGAATCAATCACAAATTTCCCATATAAAATTGCGGGGGGGAGAGTGAGGTTGACCCTTAAAGAAAGCTTGCTTGCTTTCTTTCTTTCTTTCTTTCTTTCTTTCTTTCTTTCTTTCTTTCTTTCTTTCTTTCTTTCTTTCTTTCTTTCTTTATTTATTTATTTATTTATTTATTTATTTATTTATTTATTTTACAGAGTGTGGGAGTAATTTTGTCATTAGCAGAAATGCCACGCATGCACACAATTAATAACAATTATATGTAGAGTTGCAATTTAGCTTAACATTGTTAATTACAGCTAGTTAAAAACTGTGTTGAACTGACTGCTGAGTGTTTCTAAGAAAAATATTCACAAATAATGGCCACCCAAGGTATGCAACTGATTTATGACAACAAGATGGGGTTGCTTTTAAGATTCAACACATTGGTTTCTTTAAAATGGAGATCATGCGGGCTTTTTAATTGCACTCAGTAGGGCCATTTCCAATTAGTGATTTTTAGATTTATGCTGCATTTTAAAATTTCCATTGCATTCTAGTACTGGAAGTAGTATTAATGCTGAGCATTAAGAACTGATAATTTTTCTGTAAACCTGGTTGGTTGTTTCATCAGGCAACTTGTGGAATGACTCAGATTATTCTGTCAGATATCTACCATTTTGCTTAGTTTTAGCATTCTGTGAAATAAAATTTTATTTTTTATTTTAATTAACTTTGGAGAGGTCCTGGATATGCGTATAGTGAAGGTGGGGCAGAGGCTTCAAAACTGAGTATGTCTGAAGTTTATTTTGTTACATACCAGAAAGACTCTAATTTTATTCAGTTTATTGTCAAAATCAAAGGATGTTAGACGTTTTGACGCCATTCAAACATGTCTAATATTTTCCAAGTATAAAATGACACTTTTTCCTGAAACAATTAAAGGAAAAAATGAGGGTCGTTTTATACACAGAAGTAAGGAGGCGGGAGAGATCAAAGCGCTTTGTTCCCTGTGTTCCCCCTCCATGTTTTGCAAAGAAAAGGGAGAGGGAAAACAATTCCTGCTTTCCCCCTACATTTTCATTTTCCCTGCGTTCCCCCTCCATGTTTTGCAAAGAAAATGGAGAGGGAAAGCAATTCCTGCTTTCCCCCTACATTTTCATTGCAAAAAGCAACTTCCCTCTCCGCATTTTGCAAACAAAATGGATGGGGAAAGTGATTCCTGCTTTCCCCCTGCACGTTTATTGCAAAAAGCAGCTTTCCCTCTCCATGTTTTGCAAACAAAATGGACGAGGAAAGCAATTCCTGCTTTTCCCCTGCACTTTTGTTGCAAAAAGCAGCTTCCCCCCTCCACATTTTGCAAAGAAAATGGAGGGGGAAAGCAATTCCTGCTTTCCCCCTCCATTTTCTTTCCAAAATGTGGAGGGGGAAATATGCTTTTCCCCTCCACTTTCTTGCAAAGAAATAAATTTTGGGTTAGAAAAGTGTGTGTGTGTGTGGGGGTGTCTTATAAATGGGAGAGCCTTATACATGGAAAAATACAGTAATTGGAAGCACCCGCTGGAGAAGGGTTGCAGATTGTTGCAGAAGTTCATGACTGTTGCAGATCGAAGTGGAGATGTTCGTAACAATAAGGATGCCTTTAGAAAAATTATATTGAGGCTTATCATAGGTATTTGTGATTGTCACTGTAGCTTTTCAATACCAAATGACAGAGAGTAAAACTGAAAGCTTAAATGAAGCCTTGAAGCAATATTTTGGCCTTCATAATAAGCTGCCATGAGCAGTGTGAGAGGCCACCATACACGAGTAAGTCTGCTGGTATAAAACTGTGAGGAGAATGATGAAAACGAAACAAGGTAGCTTCGGCAGCTGTTTCATAAATTCATTCTTTGTTAAAACAAGGTCTCAGTTTTGGCAGCTGTTTCATAAATTCATTCTTTGTTGTCTGCTTCCTACCACTTTGAATTCTTACTTCTGATAGAAATTTATCCAGAATTGGCTGTTTAACATTTCAAGATTCAATTGTCTTTGAAAAACTTGACACACTCCCTTTAGCCCATGTTTTACCCTTCGCCCAGAAGACCTAACATTTCTGGTAAGTGTTTGTCTTTATCACCTGGGACTTCTGAGGACTTAAGAAATTACTGCCACAGCACAGGACACAAAAACAAACAGCTTTTTTTCAGTTTAAGATCCCCACCATGTCATTTACTTCCTTCCATTTTACTTTCAGCTCAATTAGCCTTTTCTTCTTCATGTGTCTGATACTTGTGGTGACAACAAGAACGAAAAGTAAGGAAAAAGCACTTGTGTACACATCAGACCATTTTTTTTCAAGTTGATCAAACATTGCCCAGAAAAAGATTGCTTAAAGTACAACACAGAGAAGGCTACTGTGGAAGCAGAAATGAGTAAGGAAATTGTGTGGTTTTTCAGGTGGGTTCTTTCTTTCTCTCTCTCGCTCTCTCTTTATTTTATTTTTTTGAGGGGGGAATTGAGGAAACATTGACAGCTTACTCTCAAAACAAACATCTCCCCAAGTCGTGCCACATTTTCACCTGAATCAGATGTTGGGCATGTCAACAGGACTTTTAGGGGTCCAGATCTCTTAAAGTTCATCAGTTCCATGAGCATGGCTAGTAGTCATGAATGCTGCAAACTCTGGTCCAAACCTGTAGAGGCACCAACATAAGGATGCTGGTGTAAAAATCAGCAAATTAAAGGAAAAAAATCATGCTAACACTTCATTAGCCATTTGGCTGTTGTTCTATAACACTTACCAAGAGGCTATTATTACTGTCTATATGGTAAAAATCCTCAAGCCTAGGAATGATTTTCATAAACAATGTTTAAAGAAACTTCAAATGATAAATTTGAAGTAGACCTTTGGTCCAGATGGGTGGGGCAGATATCCAAATAAATAAATGAATACATAAAAATAAAAAATGTTGGATTTACTCAACAGTCCATTTGGACCAAGTCCAGAACATACTCACATGATTATTAAAGTGTTGTTTGTCTACTTTATTAGCCATTTAGCTATTGTGTTTCCAGGTGCTTCAGTTGAGAGTCATCTTGAAGATGAGAACTTACAATAAACTACTTTACTGATCCACATAGTGCTGAAAATACACAATCTTGCTTAATGTAAAAAAAATCATCCTGAATTTGTCAGTTTTAAACACAACAAACATACTTTCCAGTTGGCGGTGGAGCATCACTGAGCACCTCTGAGATATTTTCCATGATGATGACCCATTTTTTTTCTTCAATTCAAGTCCGTGCCATGCAAAACATTCATGCCATGAAAAATGGGACCACTTGGTAAAATGCTCAGCATTTCATTCTTTTGAAAAGTTTGCAACTAACAAACCCCACACAGTCGAGCACATATGCTGGCAGAAGGATGGGGAGGTGCAGAACAAAACCTTAAATGCAATGATATGAAAAGCCTGTGTAGCCCCCTTGACCAACGTACAACATGACTTTTTTAAAAAGATCAAAAGTTGTCCTGAGAGAATATAAACACTGACCCAAAAACCATGTGACTACCACATGACTTTAAACTGACTTGAAAAATCCTGAGCCATTGCCTGATTTATTTCAATAATGCAATCGCATCCTAAGTCTGTTAGTCTGGAATGGGGTTTTTGTAGAACTCCCTGTGGGCTTCAGGTTCTCCCTCTAAAAGTAATTTTTCCTGTTCTTTCTTCTTTCCTAATAAGCCATCTCTCGCACCTGCTAAAGTTGTGGCAGTGAGCTGAATAAAGCATTTCAGCATTTAGTCCACTGCCCCTATAACAAGGAAACAAAAGAATATTTGTATGTTCTCTAAAGACCTGTGTATCTTAAGTAGAAGCAGAGTTAGAAAACTTTTAATTGAAAAGGAGAGTAATTGTATGAAAAACCTAGAGTATACTAAATCCCTGACTGTTGAGTACAGAACGCAAGGCGGCTTTCTAATGCAGTATGCAAGCAAGGCAATTCTGGAGCCTTGAGGAAGGGTATGTGTATGGGAGGACATCTGGTGGCTTCCTGCATATTAACAAATATAATCTGCTTTGTACAATATTAGAGATCTGGAATGTACAAATCCAAGATTTTCTTTTAAGTTACATTTATACCCTTCACTACATGTAAAGAATTGTTCAGATATATGCAAACTGCATATATGTATACTATCAGACAAAACGATATTCATTCAACTACAGTTGTTCACTTTCTTCATATCAATGTACAAAAACAGACAAAATCAGGTGCATCCACATTATCTTGGGGCAACCTGGGCCAGAGAAAAGAGTCTCCGGTCCTCTGTGCAACACCCTCACAGATTCTTGATGTTCCATCCCGCATTTGAGGGGTAAAAAGAGATTTAACCAAACTGCAGAAAGAGGGCAATCAAAAGGAATATAAAATATCAATAGGCTGAGCTGCTGCTAATGCTAGAGCCAGTGCCAAAGAGAAGCAACAGCTGAACTCATCCAATACATCAGTGGTTCCCAAATTTCAGTAACCTAGGTATTCTTAGACAGCAATTCTCAGAAACCCCAGGCAGCACAGATAGTCACAAAGGCTTCTGGGAACTGCAGTCCAAGAGCACTTGGGTTACCCGAGGTTGGGAATCACTGTAATAAATCTAGGATCTATCCTGGACACTCTACCTACTGATACACAAAGGAGAGTTCAAGCCAAGGAGTCGCATTCTATAATTTTACTTCCCTCTTCTTATCTAGATTAGTTAGTTTGCTAAAGAGCTTTAGTATTAGAATTTACCAGGTTGATGTAGCAATGGATGAATGCATGTGTTCTTCTTGTGTGGGCCTTAATTGCCTAGCTCGTAATTCGCATACCATGACCTGTCTTTCCTGCCATTACCCCCTTTCTTCTACTTCTTTGTCATGGTGCAAATCCTGCTCTGTGTTGACCTAGACAATTTCTAGAAAGATGCCTGTGGGCAAAAGTAAAATCCTACTGTCTACCATGTCCTCGAAACTGGTGGCAGTGTAACCTCATCCCAGATTGTGGCTGCCTGCATTTGCCCTGTTTGTATGAATTCCCCCTCTCCCACCAGAGATCAGGAAATGCCTAAATAATATCACCAAGTCAAACAAGGATTGAGGCATAGTATCAGCAAAAGGGCATGGTGGGGCTGGCCCTGATCTGTGTGCCCTTTATTCACATACAGGCTTCTAGCTTCCACTATCTCACAGGCAGCATCGGCACTGGCTATCTTGGCTTGAAGGATTTGAGGAACCATAGTCCAAAAAAGCAACTTACAAGCTGTGATTGCTGTATTCATCACAGCATGTATCTGCAGTATCCAGGATTTGCACATTTATTTACACTGTGGAGAGTGTTTTGTTTTTAGTAATAGATCCTACCTATCATTTATCTGCCCACTTATCTATCTATCACTGAATATCAGGTTTCAGATGCAAAACAGCACTCTTGAAGCAAGCGAAGAGCACAAAAATGAGGGGGAGTATGTTATCCCCATCTTCAGGGGAAGTGCCTGTCTGAGAGATGGCTCTATCTGTCCACATTTTTCTCCTACGCCAGAATCTTGGATTCCCCCCCCCCCATTTTTTGGAGGAGAGCACAAAAATGAGGGGGAGTGTGTTTTCCCCATCTTCAGGGGAAGTGCCTGTCTAAGAGACGGCTCTATCTGTCCAAGTTTTTCTCCTACGCCAGAATCTTGGATCCCCCCCCCATTTTTTGGACTCATGCAGGGATCTGAAATGGATCCGGGAATCAGTCCCTTGTCAGATTGTCATCCTCCACAATGAAACCTAGGAAGGAGGGCTCTGCGCTAGTGCTCTTCGCCCTCATCACCCTTGCTTTTGATAATGACTGAATAGGACTTATGCAACAGCATGCGGCTGGCCTATGGTTTTATTCCATCCTCGAAGATCATATGTTCTCTTTAAAAACATCCCCAGCCAGTGTTGTTTGTCTGAAATGGTTTCAAATGGGCTTTGCGGCTCCTGAGGGGAGCCAGATGGTATCACAGCTTCAAGCCTGTGCTGCAACAGGGCAGTCAAACAGACGGCAATCTGACTGACATTTTTCCCCTGCTGGGAAGCACGGCCACTGTCTCTAGTGCTGGAGACAGAATGCAGGATGGCGTGCTAGCATGCTTTACCACAAGCTTTTAAGTGCTTTATATTTCCTTCATGCTGTGATGCACTTTCAGAGGTGTGAAGAATGCATTCGTTTTCCTTACCAAAGATTTGAAGTGGGGTATTTTTAAAATCTATGTCTAACATCTCAATGAAAAAGAAAGCCATTTTAAATATAAATGGTAAAGCCTGGCTGATGACAGCCAAGTCATTTTTGCCCCTCTGAACAGAGGCAAGTTTCCTGGGGTACAATTCTGGCCCCTCATTGTCCCCTTTAGAAAGATCGCAGCTTCTTGTCTTTTTTATTTATTTATTTATTTATTTATTTATTTAATTTATATGCTACCCACTCTACCCAGAGGTCTTTGCTTTAGATCTTGATATAAATAGCTCTTGTATAATTAGGTGCCTTTTACCATGGACTATTCCTAATACGGCTCAGAGTGGCATCCTAGAAAATATACAGAAAACTCAATTAGTTTCCTAAATATTTTTAACTTAAGACTGCCATCAGACAATAGAAAGGTGTGTTTTCTTTCTTATGTTGTTATTGTTCTGTATTGTCCGGTTACAATTGATTTGTAGCAACCCTAATGGGTCATTCAAGGTAAGTGAGTTATTTAAGGAGTGGTTTTACCAGTTCCACTCTCCCAGTAAGTTTCCATGGCAGAGCAGGGATTCGAATCCTGGTCTCCAAAGTCCTAGTCCATCACTCTATCCACTACACCACACTGGCTACTCTTTCTTATAATCCTTTATAATCCCTGCCAAATGGAGAGCAGAAATACAATTTGGTTGCAAATGACAGAAACAATATCATTTGGAAGACAAATCGAACAAATATGAAACAAGAGGCAATAAGACTCCGAGTCCTTTAATTGCCTCATTTTGAAAAACAAAGCCCAATGTGTTCAAACTTTGTGCTCCTTCTCCTCAAACTGCACAATTTATTTATGAGAAACCTGCATAGCAGCAGTAAAGCCTTATATAAATGTCACTCCTGTAATCCATTAAAGTGGACATTCAGGGTAAACAATTAGTAGCCTCCTAATAAAATAAAAGAATGAAATATGAAAGAAGGGTGAGCATTCTCTTTAAAAAGTATGTGAGCTGTTCCATAAAGTCTATGAAAGAGTTCATTTTGTCACTGTCATATGATATTTTAAGACTGAGGTTGCCAAGTGAATGGCATCCCATTGCCTAAGATCTCACCATCAACATTTAAGACCTTGGGAGTGGGTAATGATGATGTTAAGGGGGAGGAGCAGGAAAGACTGGGGCAGGAATACCTCAAAGCCAACTGACCATGGAAACAGTCACAAAAGGAATCCAACTAAATCAGCCCACAATCTGGGCAAAACAATCAGCCCGCCATCTTGGCAAAACAAGGATAACTAAGTAAGGTGCACAAAAAAGAACATACTTTTTCAGCAGCTGGACAGATGCGAAATGAGCCTAACAACTGCAGTGGTTGCTGCCATTTCTGCTTCTGCATCTGTTTAGAATGAATGGAAATGGCTCCACAAGTTTAAAAGCCACCTCACAGACACAAATTGGATGTTCGTCTTCTCCGGGGCCACTTTTCTAGAGAATTGCACCCGTGGCTAGAAACAGGAGGAAGCACACGAATTCCTTGAGACTTCAAGGATATTCATAACTTCCAATCCATTCAGAGCAAGACTCCCCGCCATGGTTCTCAGGAGCACAAAAGTTATGAATCTTCTTATGTTAAGCAATAGGATTTTCGACTCAATATCTCATAATAATATTTTGTATGCCAGACCCTTCTCTTAAAACAGTTTAGAGAAGAGCTGTGCACAGGTTCTCTGATTCCATTCAGAAGACACTTTGAAGTTTTTGAATATAGTACAATTCAATGGGGAGCAAAAAACAAAAACAAAAAATAGGATGAAGTGATTTCTGCCTCATCAAATTCAAGTTATGGATAGGAACTGATTTGTAAATGTACTTTGGTTTCTTCAAGAACCAGGGTGGATTTGATTTAAATCACAATTTAGGTTTTTTTTTAAATCAGAAATTTTGGATTATTTAAATTTCAAAAAATAATTTTTTAAAAAATTTAAATCATGATTTAAATCAATTTCATTTAAAAAATCATTTATTTTTATCCACCTTGCCCAGGACTATATCTGGTCCATCTCAACCCATACTCTAATTCATGTCAGTTTTTATCATCAGTACATTAAACATGGTCCCTTTGTAGTTGGATGTAGTAGTTAGAATGTTGGGCTAGGATCATGGAAATCTGGATTCACATCCCCTCTTATCCATGAAGGTCACTGGGGCCATTTGCTGTTTCTCAACCCAACCTTTCCTTACAGTACTGTTGTGAGGAATACAAATCTGATGAAATACCTTCTATGTTATCGAGCTTCTTGGAGGAAATTTGCAATATAAACGCATCAAATGCAACAAACAAATGTTGCCACAAGAATTGTGGCAGATCTTCTCATCATAGGCTAAAAATTAAACTGAACAGAATGGAAATATTTGAGTCTTCTTGTGTGCATAATTTTGTGCAATGAAAGCCTCAATTTCAGGAGAAATGTACACTACAGTACAGTATTTGATTTTAACACTGCCACCAAGATTTTTCTCTATCCTTTGTGCCTGAAATGGACAAAAACATACATTTTACAAGAAGGCCTCACAGACTCTATTTTATTATTCTTACTTTTGTTTTCTGATCAAATCATCACATGAAATTCATGAAACCACTGATAATTTAAGGAAAGCCTCTCATAGAACAGAAACATAGCTGGTACAGTAGGTTTATGAGTAATTATGAATTTCCTTTATTATCCTGCTTTCTGAATTCTTTATGTAATTGCCTTACTCTGGATAATACTCTTAGCACTTCCACCCCTTTTCACAATACACAAGACCGATTCACTTCTACAGATCTGACTTTACTGTTTCTATCTAGCAAAATACATAGACATTGCATAATCTAGGCCAGGAGCCAGCAACCTACAGATATCTAAAACAAACACTCAGATAAAATTTTACAGTCAAGTTTATGAAACATGATAACAATCCTGTGCAGCCAAAGTTATCTGTAAGGATGTGAGCTTCATTCAACTCAGTATTGATGGTGTTTATGTCTGACAGCCTCAATTCCACCTCTAAAAGACAATGGGCTTTTAACAAAAGAACTTGAGACAGCTGAAATCCAGTTCTTTAGCTTTTAATTACAAAAGCAAACAACCTTGCAAAGACAGGTTGTCATTTAAACTGCTCTCATAAAGCAGAACTCCATTAAAGAAAGAGGGGGGACAGATATCCATGTTCTGTTTCATTATGTTCCTCATTCTCCAGGGGCAAACCATGGGCCAAGCGGAAGGATAGTCCCAAAAATGGGAATAAGAACCACACGCTTGTGTCAGGCTCCACCAGTCTCACTCTGTGACTTCCTCTTTGGTAATGTGTTACAACCCATAGCAAAAGCTGAGGTCCTCATTATCACCTACGGTAATTCATTTGCCAGAACAAACAGGTCCTGTCAATTACCTGGTGCTCCAGCAATGACATAATTACTTCTGCTCTGAAAGGAAATCCCCAAAGGCCATTGTTGCAGGCATTCTTCAGTCTACTCCACAGTTGAGCATAGCTCCTTCAACATAGGTCCGTAAACACTTTTTTGGCTTTGGGTTCAAGGGTCCTCAAAGAACAGGAATATTAGGTTCTTAAGGACACCATATATATATAGCCAGCTCAGTAACTGTACTCATATTCTGCTTCAGAGCTTGTAGAAGTTACCTTTTCCTTTTAAACCATAGCCTCTCCATCCCCAAGGATTATGGCTGAGGAGTTGGAAAGTTGTCATCCACAAAAAGTACCAAGCTCTGGAATCTGGAATAAAAACAAGATCTTCTCAGCTTGCTGAAGAGTGCAATTTGCACTGATGTGAATGAGCTGCGTGAAGAACATGGCTGAGTGGAAGAGAAAGGGTGGATGCATCTTAGTCTGGTGCCTCAGCTGTTACCCTTCGGTTTACATAAGGTGTGCAGAACTGTTGAGGACAGGACTATCTGGAAGGTGAGTCACAGCAACTGGACCTCTTTCTTGTTGGGTTGAAATGTTTCACTACTCATCCAAGCAGCTTCTTCAGTCTGAGGAAAGTTGGTAGGAGACCCCTGATATATCCTCTAGCTTGGTTTCACTTCCCCCTGGTCTGAATAGGCTAGTTGGATGGAAAAAGGATGAGGAGGTGAGTGCAAATCTCTCCTCTGCAGTCCTTCTCCACCCATTGTCATGGATAATTAGCAGACGTTAACAGTGGTTTCATCCTAATAAGAAAGAAGTCCAGTTGCCATGACTCAACTTCCAGATAACCTCACCTGGATGACTGAGAATCCAGAGATATATTGAGGACAGGACATTTTGCAAACCGCTCATTCATTGGGTTGCCCTAAGTTGGAGATGACTTGATGGCACCTAACAATAACAGCAACCTCAGTCCTGCCATTGCTGCCTTTGTTTTATTTAACTTTATTTAAACTTTTATAAAGGGTTTATCTGATCATTTGAGAAAGGGCAGCTGCTCAGATTTAAACTAAGTAAATAGTGCTGTCAATTGCCTATTGCCAATTGTGGTGTGAAATTTAAAGAAAACATGAAATATTTTGAGCTTGTTAAAGGGATAGGTCAAGTCATTGTCTCGGAGCAAATCTATCTGCACACACAAAAAATTAATTAGCCTTTCTCTAAATGTGTGCGAACCACAATTATCCTTAGAGGAAACTGAGAACAAATAAACATCTCATGATAAAATAAATGGCACAGTCTTCAAATCATTTAGTGATATTGGTGATGTCAACTGACTTAATTGATTCAAGAATTGTAATTCCTGAATCACTGCATTCTGCAGTGGTTCCCTATAACCTGACAGTTTGCATCAGAAACCTGCGTTGTTTTGCTTCTTTGTATATGAACAGGCATTAAAATGCTTTTCCCCTCAGGTTCTCTAGAATAATGCAATCCAAGGAAATTACATCAGGGTACCTCTGTGTGGCTTCTAGTATGCCTATAATATCCTGAAGTAGACATATGCTTGGATATCTGGTTAAAACAAAGAGTACATTTTGAGAACAAGAAAGAAATGTAAGAAGAAAAAGAAAGTGAACTGTCATGAGGAGGGGTGGGGCAACCTGGGGGGAGGAGATTTTCAGAACAGAGTATGCATTAGATATGCATTAGTAGTAATGCATTAACAATGATGCAGCAACATCATCGTTAATGCATTACTAATGCATAGCAGAATGAATTACTCATAAAACTCCAGCAGTGATAACAGTAGCAGCCAGCCAACTGGACAAAGTAATGAGGAACAGGACAAATTCATTGCCTTGTGTAACATACCAGGTTCTGACCTTCAGTATGTGGCTCTGCAAACTTTTCTTTCAGGGTCTCTCTTGACTTACAGTTAAAACGGAAAGTAATCATAACTAGAGATGGGCATGAAACGAAGCAAAAAACAAAAAAACAAAAAACAAACAAACCATGAATTGTGCTGTTTCATGGTTCCTTTGTGAGTGATTTGTGGAAACATGCCTGCCCAGAATGAAACAAAATGCCGAACTATTATTGGTGTTGGCAATTCATACATGGGCTACAATTTGGACATTCCAAATCCATTCTTCACCGAACTAGGGCTAACTCTTCGGCTGACCCCCTCCAGGTTTGACAAAGTTTGTTGTCAGATGATAAGAGCACTTTCCTGGGGGGACTTGTTGGGGGGGGGTATGATTTGAACATCCCAGATACAATCTTCACCAAATTTGGAGGGCTGGGAAGGAGGGTCAAATGAAGATTCTCTGTGAATTTGGCAACTCTAATCATGCAGAGGTAATTCTACAGCTCCTGGAAGTCCCAAATCACACAAACTACAAAATGGTTCATTTTGTCAGAGGAGTTTGCACTTCATAGTGTGCGAATCACGAACCATCTTGAACCACAGTTTTCCTAGTTCTTGCCCATCTCTAATCATGACAAGTAATTTAGTCCAGGGAAAGCAGTTTCAACTGCAGTATTATACTACATTTGTATGGATATGCTTGTGATTGAACTTTGAGCTAAGCTAGCATTTCTCAAGAGATTATATACCATCATCCGTCCTTCCTTGAGAGCATCCCTCTTCTTCACATTCAGGATGGTAAAATTTAGAACTAGACAGATCTCTGCTGGTTCACTGCTTCTCACAAAGGAAAGCATGGATTGTTGCTCACCTCAGCAATAACCTGAATCAAACAGAACATTAGCACTTGAGATTTGCTTTTATATTACTAACATTAAGATATACATTAGCAGAATTTAAAGCAGAAATAATTTCACACATCACAACACACTCCTCAGTGGTCCCAGTTAGCATGATACGTCCCAGCAGAGGGAGAAGCATCTTCAGATTCTGGTGGGAACAGCAGCTCCTTTTCCACGTGAGTGAACTGCTTCCAGATTTCATATCAGAATTATTGAAAAATTGCTGGCGTAGCCTGGATCTCAGCAAGCACATGGAATTAAAAACAATCTCAATATTCATTAGTTCCTGGCTTCTGCATTTTCAATTTGTGACAGGCCCAGAAATTGCAATGTTGCTTTTAAAATTAGTTACAATTGCTATTCCAGGTTTCCCTGAGAAATAAATAGTTCTCATTATAATTAGGCTTTTAAAAAACTAATGCTATCCTTTACCGTTGCTCAGAAGTAACTTTGCTGTTGTTACATACCATCATGTTTCCTCCAATTTATGGCAACCCTATGAATGAGTTACCTCTAAAATGTCCTGCCATTAACAGCCCTGTTCATCTCTTAGGAGAGTGGCTTGCTTTATGGAGTCAATTCATCTCATATTTGGTCTTCCTCCTGCTTCCTCCAACCTTTCCTGGCTTTATTGTCTTTTCCAGTGAGTCTTGTTTTCTCATGACATGACTAAAGTACAACAGCCTTAGTTTCATCATTTTTGCTTCTAGAGAGAGTTCACATTTGATTTGATCATTAACCAGAAGAACTGTAGAATGAAACTAGAGTTATTATTATAGCAGAATGCCAAAAGAGAGAGATTATTCTTGTAGTTAAAAGAAAAGGAAAACCTAGGTGGCTGACAGAAAAAAACATTTTAATTGTTTAGGACAGGGAGCAAACAAAAGTGAAAGGTGACAGAAATAGTGTTAAAAACCTAAATGCAACTTTTCAGTGACTATCACATAGAGGTACAGAGAATTATTATAATGACCAGTGCAAATAAACAGAAGAGAACAAAAAAAAAAAAAAGAAGAAGAAGAAGAAGAAGAAGAAGAAGAAAAGCAGGAGATTTCTTCCAGAAATCAAAGGGAAATTTAAATCCAGGTCAGGGATGTCAAAAGAACAACAAGGAAGCATATTCTTTGACCAGGTACAGAATAAAGAGAAGATGGAAACAATATACTAAAGAACTAAACTGAAGAAATAAACATATGATGGATTCTTTGAAGAGGAATCTTAAGATGAAAAATTCTGCTCTAAAAACATTTGGGAGAAATAAACTTATGTTGTGCAAAGCTGGAGAAGATTCAAAGAATAGTGGAATGAAAACTGGGTGGAAGAAACATCAATAATCTAAGATATGCAGATAATGCCATGGCAGATAATAGCTTGGTATGATTATTGATAAAGGTGAAAAAGAAAACTGCCAAAACAGAATTACAGTTGAACATTAAAAAGACAAAAATAATGATTTTGGAAAAATCACATAATGTCAATGTTGACAATGCAGAAATCAAAATTGTTAAAGACTATACTTTGGTTGTGATGTATGTTGTGATGTATGGATTGTTGTGATGTATGGATGTGAGAGCTGGACCATAAAGAAAGCAGACCGCCGGAGAATTGATGCCTTTGAATTGTGGTGCTGGAGGAGGCTCTTGAGAGTCCCCTGGACTGCAAGGAGAACAAACCTATCAATTCTAAAGGAAATCAACCCTGAGTGCTCACTGGAAGGACAGATCCTGAAGCTGAGGCTCCAGTACTTTGGCCATCTCATGAGAAGAGAAGACTCCTTGGAAAAGACCTTGATGTTAGGAAAGTGTGACAGCAAAAGGAGAAGGGGACGACCGAGGATGAGATGGCTGGACAGTGTCTGCGAAGCAACCAACATGAAATTGACAGACCTCCGGGAGGCAGTGGAAGATAGGAGGGCCTGGCGTGCTCTGGTCCATGGGGTCACAAAGAGTCAGACACGACTAAACGACTAAACAACAACAACAACATACTTTGGTTTGGCTTTCAATCTAACTGAGACTGCAGGCAAAAGAATCAGAAGAGTGAAACTTGAAAAGCCAGCTATGAAGGAACTACATAAGACCCTCTAGATGTAAGGATGTATCATTAGAGAGCAAAGCTAAGAACATCCATACACGGATATTTTCAATTACAATGTGAAAGGTTAACAATGATGAATGGTGATGGGAAAAAAACCCCTAATTCACCTGAAACGTGGTGTTGGAAGTGAGCTTCATGGACTATCTGAAAGATATAGACCTGTAAATGGATTCTAGATTTAAGAATGCCCATACCTTCACTCCAAGCTAAAATATCTAAACCAAGGCTATCAAACTTGGACATATCATGAGAAACTGACTTACCCCCAAAAAACCAATAATGTTAGGAACAGTGGAAGGCAGTAGGAAATGAGGAAGGCCTAACATGAGATGGATTGACTCAATAAAGAAAACCATGGTTTTAAGTTATGAGACCTGAGCAGGGCTGTAACTGATAGGGCATTTGGAAGTCCTAAATTCATCGGGTTGTCATAAGTTAGAAATGACTTGGTGGCAACATAACCTGAGCAAAGCTGCGTACATTTGTTGCTTTTTTTTTTTTAATCATTCTTACAAGCCTGAAGTGACATCTGCCCACCCTGAGAAATTCTCCTCTTTGTTGGTTTCTAGCTGTAGTTGATGAAGCTTGAATGATGGTATCCTTAAGCGTTGCCCAGAGCTGTTTTCAGCCTGACAAAAAAGTCAGTATGGAATGTTTAAAATTAGATGAGCTGCCCAATTGAAAAGCCATGTTTTCTAGCACTTATTGTAAGTGGGTAAATATAAATGCAGGTGTGTGGAGCTTTTCAAAGCAGCCTTTGACAGGTGTAACTGTACACCGCTACCAGATTTTGAGGAAACTTGTGCCCCACACGGAAACCTTCATAACCAGTTCTATAGAGATGTCATAAGTGCAGGCTGCAATCAGCAAGCTGCAAAACAAGGCTGCTGGAAACAATAAAATCACAGACTAAATGCCAAATACACTTGACATCACCACCTTAACAAAGTGGACAGAGCCTTTCAATGAAGTCCAGAGAGACCTCTCCTGACCGATAGAAACATGGTATCATTATCTGAATGCCCAAGGAAGAGCAATCTTCTGTCATCATAGATATGAAGGCAGCCAACATCAAAAATTGCCTGTCAGGAACACGGAAATCATTACAATTTCTTTAAACACATACAGTACAAGGCTAAAATCTAATACATATATATTAACAGATGTCCCCATTCTAGAAATATTCCTCAAATATGTCACAATCCACTGACCTGAAGTGCTCAAAGCTAAGCGACATGATCAGTTTAGCACTTGTGCTAGTCGCCCAATAAATAATGGCTGAAATTTTAGCTTAACCCGTACGTCACATTTGGGGGGGCATTTGTTAATTTGCCACTGTGCTTGCACTGAATTAAATACCTAGTTATGCACCACATTACACAACATTTCTATTATATGCCCAAGCGGGTTGGAACAAAGAATATGGGGCTCTCCAGCTGTGGCTGGTTTGCAATTTGCATCACTCTTCACCAAGCACTATACACGCTGGGTATGGTGGATTTTGCATCCTAACAACTTGCCGAGAGACATAGCTTCTCCACTCCTGATCTAGAGCAGTGGTTCTCAAACTTGGGTCTCCAGATGTTCTTGGACTGCAACTCCTAGAAATCCTGGCCAGCACAGCAAGTGGTGAAGGCTTCTGGGAATTGCAGTTCAAGAACATCTGGGGACCCCAGTTTGAGAACTACTGTTCTAGAGGGTTTGTTTTACCACTGTATCAGCATTTGGAGAGATAACAGCATGCACTGCACCCAAATTGTCAATCACAAGAGATTTAGCATACACACAGATGCTAAGTCCAAGATTTTAAAGGAGATGCAAAAAGATAAAAATTGGGAAGTCCAACCATGCATCCCAAGATCTCCATGTTGAATAGGGTCCATTACTATTTAAAGCAAAGCAAAAGCAAAGCGTGCTGCTTATATACCGCCCCATAGCGCTTCAAGCCCTCTCTGGGCAGTTTACTATTTAATTATGCAGGCTACACATTCACGCCCCCCCCCAGCGAGCTGGGTACTCATTTTACTGACCTCAGAAGGATAGAAGGCTGAGTCAACCTTGAGCCGGCTACCTGGGATTTGAACCCCAGGCCGTGAGCACAGTTTTAGCTGCAGTACAGCGATTTAACCACTGTGCCACGAGTGCAATGGGAAATCCTCTTACTTACCCCTTACCTGCAGTAATCTATACCTACCTGCCTGCCCACTCACCCACCCCACAAAAAAAGAAGAAAATGTTCCTGATGATGTCCCAGCTCTCTAAAGGAAGGCAATGGGCTTTTAGAAAGAGTGTGAAGATGAGTCCTTTTAAACTGTCTTAAGAAACTGTTTAATATTTGCTGTGTTTATTTATGAGCAGGAGAGCAACGTGCCAGAGCTCAGGTCAACTTCCATACCTTCCACATCCCCCATGGAGGCTGTCCGTGGGGTATGTGGATTGACCACTTGATAGCCAACTGAGGGAGGTTACTCAGCCAGACCTGATGGGGCCCTACCTTTATTAGGTCAAGGCCTCGGAGACAGAGACAGTGGGAGTCCCATCCATGTCAGAAACAGAAGCAGAGTTGGGGGCCAAGAAGACTCCAGATCCTTCACTGACTGGAGCAAAAGAGGTATAAAAAGAAGGGAGGATTCTGGCCAGCCTGGATGGATGGAGATTTGAAAGAGTGGCGTGATGCCCTAGATTGGTCCATCAACTCTTGGACCCAGAGATTCCCTCATACTTTGCTCGAGCAGCCTTTGCTTTCCCTTGTCTTACTGAAAGCCTGACCCATGAAAGGACAACAAGGCACTGAAGCATGTGGCATTGGTGATTCCTGAGGAAGAACCAGGGGTCAATCCTCCTGAGTCATCCGCTCTGATGACTTCCCAGTTCCAATGTCTCTGCCAGCTGGAGAAGAACATCTGAGCACAAGAGTTGCAGAAGCAGGACTCTTAAGTGGACACTCTGCCATGCTGGTTGGACATATGGGACTTCAGCAAGTGTTTATATACTAATGCGAAGTGACCTGGAGGACCTGCTGGATTCACTTGTATACAGTTATGGAATGAAATATGGTGTTTGATGAGCTTGGTGTGGACTGAAGTGTTCTTATGAAAGTTCTAAGCTGTAAAAAGGACTGTCTCTGGGAGTGCTGGGATGAAAAAACAGACAAACAAAAAACTCTGTTCTCAAAGGTTTTCATGGCCAGGATCCAATGGTTGTTGTAGGCTTTTTACGCTGTTTGGCCATGTTCTTGAGTTTTTTCTTCCTAACGTTTCACCAGTCTCTGTGGACGGCATCTTGAGAGGACAGGAGTTAGAACTCTGTCTGTGTTCCAGAAGTTCTAACTCCTGTCCTCTGAAGATGCCGTCCACAGAGGCTGGCGAAACTTTAGGAAGAAAAACCTCCAGAACACAGCCAAACAGCTCGAAAAAACCACAACAACCAAACAAAAAAACCTGTTCATCTCCCTTAAACAGATATACATATATATTCTCTAACTGCTACTTAGAACTGGCTCTGTCCTTAGATTTTCACAGTAGATGGAAAAGA